ATTAGTTTCCTTTTATTTATAACAACAAAGGGGTTTCATTGTATAAGTGCAACAATATTAGGCCTATTCAGTTGTATTGTGTGTTGTAGCTCAATATGTTTATGAAAAGGCATTAAAGAATTTATTTTAGATATTTTAACAGAAGAGTTTTAAAAAATGTATTAAACAAGGTAATTAATTATGTTAACTTTATGTTCAGGAGAACAGGCTAAAATTGGAAATTTCTTTTATAGCAGTATTTGAGGCAGGACAAATTTCATCATAAGCTAGCAAATTGGCTACTATTACACACAAATGGCTTAACAGCCATTAAAGATATGATGTTCAAATTGCTAAAATTTATATAGAGAATTATAAAATTGTTGGACCAAGTTTTCATCAACATTGCCTAAGTGTTAGGGGCACAAGAACTTAAAGTGTGACTAAAATTTGCATTAAAATTTGGTTTGTTGGATAAATATGAAAATATCTTGAGAAGAACCATTGGAGAGATTCAAAATATGAAGAATAACATGATTCAATTTAATGTAATAGAAGAGAAGGATAAAATGATCATTGTTTTAAGGTAGCAAATATGACAAACTGCAGAAACATGAACTTTAATTAACTTGCATTTTATACATGTGCATTTCAAGTTTTCTAAAATGATTCCTCTTTAACTTAAAATACTGTAAAAATTTAATTACAAGACACAAAAGCTTGTCTTTCGTCATTATTGTGTTCTTAAATTAAGATACATTTTGAAATATCAAATAGCAGTTTGGTCCTTTGCTAACATCATTTTCAAGCTGTCTAGGTTGTCATCTTTTTTTTGTCCCATATTCTGTGTAGTCCCTTAATGTGTTTATAGGGATTTGGAAACAGGAATCATTTTATCCTTCTCTTCTACTATATATATACTAGCTGACCCTGCCACGCATTGTTGTGGCTCAAAATGTATCTATTATAAATGTATAACACTTCCCCCGTGGGGGGAATTTTTCGAAAAATCCCTTCTTAGTGTACATTCTCTTGACATATCCTATTAAAACGCAATCAAAAACGCAAAAAATCGCATCTAAAATAGTATAATAGAAGCCAAGTTCTTCACAGTAAGCCTTAATCCTGTCCCTCTCCCCACAGGGGGAATATCGAAAAATTCCTTTTTAGTGTATATTCTCTTGATGTTTGATGTACTCTATTAAAATGCAATCAAGAACACAAAAACCGCATCTAAAATAGTATAAATAGAAGCAGAGTTCTTTGCGGTAAGCCTTAATTCCGTCCATCTCCCCAATGCAGGGAATTTTGACATGTATATTATATAAAAACATGTGCGTATTCAAATGCAGCATTGTGTCAAAATTTCAAAGGAATCAGTAGGAACAAATGAACATTACATTTTTATTTATATAGATAGATAGAAAATGATCTGCTTTAGTTCATCCTCACAGAAAAGCAAACTTAGATCGTCGTACTCGTAGTACCATCTGTTGGACATAAAAGCCTTAACCCTAGATGATATCTTTTAATTTATATGAATGTGTAACAGAATAATATACAGCCTATGTCCACCCTGAAGTTCCATTCTAAATATTGGTGAAAGAATTTTTGAAATTGGATGAGTAGTTTCAGAGATTACCCGCTACATCCAAACTTACAAACATTATAATAATATAATGTTTGTAAGTTTGGANTCTAGGACTGGAGTAAAAATATAAAAATATTTTTTTTAAATGAAATTCTTTGAGATGAATATTTTTTTGTGTTATTAATCAAAATTTTCATTGAAATTACACTGAAATATCTTTATATGTTGGAGGTGAGATTTTTAAAATAGTTAAATAATTCCCATTTTATGAGTAATCATTTGTATTAGTAATTTCATGTACTGTACATCTGATGACTTAAAGGTAATGGTAACAGTTATTAGGGATGAAAACAAGTAAAGACAACAACAATGTTGCCAGCCATCTTTTTATTGTAATCTAGTTTTAAAAAAGTAAAATGCACTCTTATTTATCAGGGAAAAAAGAAGAGTTTAAAAGAAATCCTTTACAGTTAAAAATTACATTATTAAAATATTTAATAAAATATAAAATTATAAAAATATTCTATATGAATACATGCAAAAGCTGTTTACTTATAATGAAAAAAATATGTTTAAACAGTAACATTTTTATTCAAAAATTGGACTAGATAGAGATACCTGAATTTGATGAAGGCTGTTTTGGATATTCATCTTTTTCTGGGATATTGCAACTTTATATATAAGATGCAGTGCAATTTTTTATAACAAAAGTTGTGTTTTTATGATGTAAAATAGAGTAATTAAAACAAATAAATAATACAGAATTGAACATAAATTTAAAACAAAATATAGAATATTTTATAATGAGAAAAAAAATTTAATAACTATATTATTCATTTATTGGGTTGGCCCATAAGTCCTGGCGTTTTTTAAGTGAAAATTTTGCATGAAAAATAAAATGTTTTGGCAATGCATTTTATGTTGTTCAATATAGAATTATGTGTTCTACAAAATAGTGTTTGGTTTTTTATGCTGATATACGTTTTGTTCTTTTCGGGTCAATAAAATGGAGTGTCAAGTCAACAAAAAGAGCATTTTTGACACCTTCTGCTTTATGCGTTTAATCAAAGCCACAGTAGCTGCTTGAGAGATTTGTGAAATGTGGCAAAGAAGTGATGCCTCTTAGGATGGCTCAAAATTGGTTTGAGCGATTCAAAGATGGCAATTTTGACCTCAAAAACATGCATCGCACTGGACACTCTGTTTAGTTTGATGAGGAGCAGCTGAATCAGCTTATTCACGAAGATCCACGCCAAATGATGAGGGAATTGGCAGAGATAATGGAATGCTCCCACAGTACCATAGAGCGTCATAGAGAGTTGCCTTCACTCGATGGGAAAGGTTCAAAAGTTGGGCGCACTTAAAAAAAAATGCCAGAACTTATGGACCAACCCAATATTTATTAATTTTTTTGTTTATTTATTTATTTATGTACATTTTTGTTCTTAATCCTCATGATGGCTATGTAACCAGTAAAGAGTATTTATTTAAATAGAAAAACTTTTTATTGATTTAAGAGATTCAGTTTATTTGATTTTGATATCTAGTTAATTTAAGGATGATGATGACAAACAACAACACACACACACACAAAAATATATTTGTGTGTGTGTTTAAAAATTTTGAGCGATAAAATAGGGAATGTATTGACAGGGTTCCTATGCACTTGGAAAGTCAGGAAAAATTAGGGATTATCATTAGTGTTCAGATAAGTCATNCCTTAATATGTGATGAATTGAAAACAAAACCAAAACATTGCGTAATTGGAAAAAGTTTATTTTTAATGATTCAGAATGTGCTAATATTCATTAAAAATAACAATTTAACTAATACAAAATAACTACATTTACATTTATAATCATTGCTAAGTGACCTGCATTTCATTAATGTTTTTATAAATAATAAACTATTTTCTGCGAACGAATGAGATGCAATGTGATTTTTAATTGATGGATGTAGGATTAAACCAATAAACAAAGGGGTGTATGTCTTAATTTGTTTACAGTAGGTGCCAACTTATAAATAGACTGTAGATCTATAGTGACAGCATGGTTCACGGAAATTATTTGCAAAAACGCAAAGAATCCTTCGTTCACGTGTATAGGATAACCTAGGTTTTTGAAGCAGTGAAAATTGAATAAAAACCTAGTCTTATATGTGAGTATATATGGTATGTGCGAGTGTTTTGAAATAATTATGATTTACAGGCGGTATAAATTGTAATAATTTCATGTTGTATTTAAATTGGTCTTACATTTTCATATAATGGCATTAACTCAACATTAGTAAACTTTCTTAGTCTTCTCTGATGCAGAAATAAATTATGAAATTTGAATTCCTCATCCTCTTTCATTGATGTTTTATAAAACATTTTATAGGGTTCACTTTTCAAAAATCCTATCCAATATATATATAATCTTTCAGTGGGTGCACCCTTTAGAGTTTCATAATTGGACCTGTTGTGGTTATTACACTGCATATGCAATATTACTTCATATCTTCCAATATTTAATTTTGTTTTTGAAAACATGAACAAAATTAAAAAATAAAAATGTATCCTAGAACTTTTTATTAAACAAATATGGTTTTAAATCCTTAAGCTAATTAAAAATAAGCCACTTCACTTCCATCTGTTGTTTTGCCTTCTTAATGGCACATTTAGTGATTGTATAACTGTTTCTTGCAGACATTTTTACCACATTTGACAGATCAATTTTATTCTGTTATTATTGTTATTTCTATAAGAAAGTCATATATCTCATCAGTTGATTGTTCAGAGTCACTGTCTTGATTATTTTCTATAATCTCTTGCTCCTCTGACTCAGTTTCACTGTCATAGTTAGTCTTCTGGCTCTTCTCTCTTTTTTTTTTTTTTTTTTTTTTTTTTTTTTTTTTTTTTTTTTTTTTTTTTTTTTTTTTTTTTTTTTTTTTTTTTTTTTTTTTTTTTTTTTTTTTTTTTTTTTTTTTTTTTTTTTTTTTTTTTTTTTTTTTTTTTTTTTTTTTTTTTTTTTTTTTTTTTTTTTTTTTTTTTTTTTTTTTTTTTTTTTTTTTTTTTTTTTTTTTTTTTTTTTTTTTTTTTTTTTTTTTTTTTTTTTTTTTTTTTTTTTTTTTTTTTTTTTTTTTTTTTTTTTTTTTTTTTTTTTTTTTTTTTTTTTTTTTTTTTTTTTTTTTTTTTTTTTTTTTTTTTTTTTTTTTTTTTTTTTTTTTTTTTTTTTTTTTTTTTTTTTTTNTTATTTTACTGAATTAAATTAATATAAGTTTTAAATGATATTGTTTTTAATTCTTCAATTTAAATGTTCAATTGTTTAATTTAAATGTAATTTTTTTATATTTAGTAAATAATGCAGATGTTTTTAATTTTCTTGATTATAAATAAAATTGGTCATTCTAGAAAACAAAATTTAAAATATTTAATTTTTTATTTTTATAGTGATTTCAAGTTTTAAGAGATTAAAAGATGTCAGAAGACGAAAGAAATCAGAAAAATAACACTGATAATAATGTTGTGAATGGAGGAAATGACATTTGTAGAGATTTTTTACGTAATCTTTGTCGACGTGGTAAACGATGCAAATATAGACATCCAGAAACTGAAGATACAGAGAAAAAAGATTATGTCTTTTGTCATGATTTTCAAAATAAAGAATGTCGACGTCCTAATTGTAAATTTCTTCATTGCAGTAAGCAAGAAGAAGAATTTTTTCACAACACAGGAAAGCTTCCACCTCATATTCAGGAAGCTCTGAATGCAAGTAAAGATGTGCGTGAAATTTGCAAAGATTTTATGAAAGGTGATTGTCGTCGTGGTGCCAGATGCAAATTTCGCCATCCTAATCCTGAATTTGAAATGGGTCCAAATCCAAGAGGAAGACGTTTTGATAGTTTTGAACGTTATGATGATTTTAATCCCTATGAACCAGAACCTAAACGCCGCATGTTTGATGATCGATTTGGGGGACCACCTATGATGGATCGTCCATCCAGAGGAGGAGAACCTCTTTTGCCTCCTCCTGCTCCACCAGTGCCTCCTGATTATAGGATGCTAGAAGATGAAAATTCATTATTAAGAAGAAAAATTGATGACTTAAAGAAGCAAGTTGCTGATCTTACAGCTACCAACGAGTTCCTGCTGGATCAGAATGCCCAACTTCGTCTCAGTAAGCAAAATACCTCTGTCACTCCAATTCTTAATTCTTCAGTTATTACTTCAACATCTGAACCTCCTCCTTTATTTACCCAAATATCCCATCCTGTTTCCTTAAATACAGATTTAACAGGTTCTGTACAGACAAGTTTGCCATTACAGAGCTTAGCCCCTGAAGATCTTGCAGCTGCGACGACGCAAAATGTTGCATCTTTCGTTCCTGCATCACTAAGTCAGGGACTAGCTACTGTATCAATGGCTCAAGCAGTATCAGCAGCTTCATTTTCTCAGAACCTAACCCAATCTATTAGTACTTTGAGCAATTCTTCTACTTTTCTTGTTTCCTATCCTGTAATAAATCAAAAGATGCGCTCTATTTATCACACAGTTTAGGTCACCGATTTCAAATTTTATAGCATTGTTAAACACATTTATGTACTATATATATGTGCATAATTATAAATAGTATTTAGCCAATGGGTGTGTTCAGTAACTCAGCGCAAGCATTCAGATTGCAATTTGCAGCAGCTTATTAAAATTAAAGAAAAATTTGTATTAAGTTTATTTTGTGCTTTAGACAATAAGTAGGATTAAAGAATTGCATAGGTAAGTTTTTTAGTTTTGATGTATAATTATTATCTATGCTTTGCTAGCAAGATGCGCCACAAGATCTTTTTTGTGATTTGTATTTTGCTGGATGCTCTGAGATGCCAGACACACCTAATGGTTTAGCTTTAATTGAAGATTTCATTTATCATACCAACATTTTGAGCTTTTATAAATAAATACTTATAATTGTTGAGCATTTATTTTAAATTACCATTTTGAAAAATATATTTTAATAGAAAAATTTTAGCCAGTGCTGAGGATGAACGGCAGCTTCATTTGCATCAATTTTCAACCAAGCTTTGCTAGTTTATTATTATGCTCTTACATATGCTGTTTCCTTCTCGTTTGCAGGCAGACATGGTGGCGGTGGCGGGCACAACTTCGTGGAGAGACAGATGTTCTGAAATTGCGACATTTTCTCAGCAAACATACCACATAGTGACCCTATTCTGCAATCCCCTAATCCTTACATTCAGGATACCAACAACCAGATGATTGTGAAATTTTATTTCATATATCATTATAGAGATACTGCATGTGTTTAAACAGGAAAACAGGCTGCATCTAGGTCAACTGATCAACATTGATAGACATTCATCATGCTTACATGCTCTGAATATGAACTTTCAGTATCCCATTCTTTTACTTTAAAAAAGAAAACCTGTTATATGTTGCATAATTCAGAGGTATTTAATTCTTTGCAATTATCTACCATGCATTGCATATGTACTAATTAGTAGTGTGAGCGAGCAACTTTGCAACACTTAAACAGGCATGTATAAAATTTAAAAGTTAGCTGCTGTTGCTATGTATAACTATAATTATACAATTGTAAGTCAGTGTTAGGATAAAATGTAATGTTTATTTTAAACTTGTCATTTATTTAGTCTTGAAAAATTACTTTTTCATTAGATGGGCCACATCTATTATGTATTGTGGTGCTGAGAAGTATTTAGATATTTGCTAACAAAACAAAATTTTATAGGGACAAAATATAAGTAATTTTGGTCTTAATATTGTTTTCACACAGCATATACTTATGCAGCAATGTAATGTGTATTGTTCTGGGTTAATTAAAGCTTTACTTTTATGCCCTATTTTTGAATGAATTTTATTGTGAACTAATTTAATTTATATGTATTTTTTTAATAATAATTTAATTTTTATAAGTTTTTATAGATGATAGATATATAATTGGATCTATTCAATTTAGATGGATATCTGGATGATACTTAAATTATAAAAGTATTTCATTTATCCTGAAGTTAATATTTTAACATAAGTTTTATTTTAATTGATATGTAAATTTAATTTTTCAACTTAAGTTAAAGTTTTGAAGAAATGCTATCTTTAGTAGTACAATAAAAAATCAGTATTATTTTTTTTTATTTTGTTTTTTGCTAAAAAAAATTGATTCTTTAAGTTAAACCAAATTTATTTATACTTTTTGCTTTCATTAAGAATGAACTAGAATATATAGAAAATAATTTTTGTCATATATGCTTGTAGTACTTAATTTATAATAAATAAAACAGAAATAATATATAAAAACATTTATTCACAAAAAATGCATTATCTGATTAAATCATTTTTTAAAATTAAATTTAACTACATTTACTATTGATTGCAAATATTTCATTTAAGCAAAATATTCCAGATGTCTATTTTTTATTTGGATGGATTATATTTATATTCAATTAATAAAATATAATTACATTTAATATCTTGATTTTAAAAATTAGAAAAAAAGTTTTTTTTTTTTGCTCTCATCAGTTAGGACAGTTCTAAATAGTAAGTTATTATTATTTCAGAAAACAATGTAAAAATAAAAATATTTTCATTTGTGTTTTGCAAATGCATTTTAGGCATTTTTATATCTTTCCTCAAATATTATATTTCACAGGCATGTTTGTTTTTTTTATAAATAAAAAACTAATGATATAACAGGTGCATAAAAATTCCAAATTACAAAGAAACAAAATGGGCTAGGTCAGGATTCACAAGCTTTCTTGAATCTGTGCCAAACTATATGTCCAGGGTGGCCAAGCTCCTTGATAATCCGAGCCATTTTTCAAAATTTGAAATTTTTCGCGAGCCGCAATTAAATACGTATTAAAAAGGTATGCAAAAAATTCCAGATTACAAATTATATCCATAGCAAGAGTGATACATATTGTTTCCTCCAGAGCACAATGTCAACTGTCCATTGCAATGACAGTTTACAAATTCAAAATCGGTCTGGAGACGGACGATTACGCCACTGTTTATGTTTGTTCGCGCAGTTTTCGATGAGTCATATCATTTTTAACTTGGACAGAAATGAAATTGGTTACAACGTTGCACTTAGTCTTTCATATTTGTTGTTAGTAATTTAAAAGACATTTTGAAACACATACGGAACGATAATAATTTTTTAAAATATAATAACACAAAAATGAAAAGGGAACTCGGGTACATTTATC